TGTGTAAGTAGTTTGCGTTCTTGTTAAAGGAATGGATTGCTCTCCCGGGTTTGTCTTTTTTTAATTTAGTCTGCGCTCCAGGCAGACCATGAAATACACATGAGAGCTGTTTTACCTGCTAAATGATTTGTATTTCTATCCATTCATTCTTGAGAATTACATAGCCCTGCCACACAACCAGACTGGAGACCTGACTTTTCACTACTGCAGTAAAGTATGACAACAAAGCCTTGTCTTTTCAACTGCCTGTAATTAGACAGTGAAGGAGAAGCTGCAGACTGATAAACTCATCCCTCTGTCCTTCTGATTCTCCTCCTGTCATCATGTGCCTTGTTAGCACATAGCTACTGCAGCACAGCTAATTGGCTCCTTGTGCTGCTTTTCCCGCTCCTATGCTAAGCATTGATGTACAGGAGATATGAAGAGGTTAATATCAAGTCATATTCAGGTGCTTAAACTAGTTGCTTTTAAAAGCACATTTGTGTGCCCAATTTGTGGGTTGAATAATGTTGGCTGTCTTTCAACACGGGATAGAAGCAGCCCTGGATCACAGAGGAGGATGCATTGGGCAGCTTCACTGCGTCGCTGCATGGGGTGCATTTTTTTTTTTTTACAAGGGAAGGGGGCATTTAATATAAAAAATAAACTTGACCTTTTAATGATTGTGAAATGAACGTGTGCCCGCATTACTGAAATCTACTTTTACATGCTATAAATATGTTTAGCCACTAGATGCCACTGTGTATACACATATCGGTGTGTTTGTTGAGAAAATGTAGAGGAAATCCTTTTGATTATGTTGCAATACAGAAAACAGGTTTATGTCAAGTCACTGGATCTGTGTCTTGAATTAGTTAGTGTTTTTCTCCTCACCCCCCAAAAAAGAGGCAACAACACACATTAGAATATGTGTGCTTTGAATGGTTTCTTTGTGTTTTTTTTGGTGTGTGTGTGTGTGGTTTTTTTTTTTTGCAGAATTGGCTTCATTTTTGTTCCCTGCCTTTATGTTGAATTTACTGCACTTCAAGGCTGTTTTCTCCTGATATTGAAAATTAGGGCCCCGTTACCACTTGTGATTTTTTTCTGCAGTTAAATACTTGTGAAACTACATGTAAAATGCATGTAACAATTATGCACCATTATAGTTAGTGTCACTGAAGCTATTTAAAGTTTAATTAAATTCTACACATCTCTTTGCATTTTTCAATGTACAACCTCAATTCCAAAAAAGTTAGGATGCTATGTAAAATCTACATAAAAACAGAATGCAATGATTTGCACATCTCAAACTCTTATTTTATTCACAATAGAAAATAGAAAACATATCAAATGTTTAAACTGAGAAAATGTACCATTTTAAGAAAAAAATAAGGTCATTTTAAAATTATTGACATCAATACATCTCAAAAAAGTTTGGACAGGGCAACAAAAAGCTGGCTAAGTAAGTGGTACTAACAAGGAAGAGCTGGAAGAACATTTTGCAGCTAATTAGCATTATAGTACGATAATCGGCAGGTGTATGGAAGGCGTGCGACCGTTTCTACTGAACGGTCGCACGTCTTTTGTCTTACGAGCATGTTGGAAAAGCAGCTGAAAATCGTAAGATTTTCGGTAGGTTTGTGGCGTGCTCATAAGACAAATGCCGCATGGGCTGGTGTGCGCAAGCGCACACTGCCCGCTCAGCATTGCAGTCATCGGAAGCCCTCCCCTCAGCGGGCCGGGCTTGCGATGATCGCAAGTACGATCTGTGTCCAAGATGGGCAGATCGTACAAGCTTTTAATTAGCATACAACCATCGCAAGACGAAATTGTAAGTGTAAAGTGTATGGCCAGCTTTAGAGAGTCAGAGTGTCTCAGAAGTAAAGATGGGCAGAGGCTCACCAATCTGTGAAAAGCTGCGTCCAACAATTTCAGAATAATGTTCCTCAATGGAAAATTTAAATATATCATCATCTACAGTACATATCATCAAAAAAAGGAGAAATGCGCAAGGGACGAGCGAAACGCAATATTAGATGCCCGTGATCTTCGGGCCCTCAGACGACACTGCATTAAAAACAGACATGATTGTGTGATGGACATCACTGCATTGGAATACTTCCAAAAAACACCGTCTGTGAACACAATTCGTTATGCCATCCAAAAACGCCAGTTAAAGCTCCATCATGCACAGAAGAATCCATATCTGAACATGATCGAGAAACGCCGCCATCTAATCTGGGCCAAAGCTCATTTAAAATGGTCTGTTGAAAGTGGGAAATTGTTCTGTGGTCATACGAATCAATATTTCACATTCTTTTTGGCAGCCATGGGCGATGCATCCTCTGGACTAAAGAGGAGAGGGACCTTCTGGCTTATCAGCACTCAGTTCAAAAGATTACATCTCTGATGGTATGGGGGTGCATTAGTGCATATGGAAAGGACAGCTTACACATCTGGAAAGGCACCATCAATGCTGAAAGATATATCCAGGTTTTAGAACAGCATAGGCTCCCAACCAGACGTCTTTTTCAGGGAAGGCCTTACATATTTCAGCAGGACAATGCTAAACCACATACTGCATCTGTGTCAACAGCATGGCTTCATAGTAGAAGAGTCCAGGTGCTTAACTGGCCTGCCTACACTCCAGACTTTTGACCAATTGAAAATGTTTGCACATCTTAAAACGAAAAATATGATAAAGAAGACCCAGGACTGTTGAGCAGTTAGAATCCTATATCAGGCAAGAATGGGACAGCATTCCTCTCCCAAAACTCCAGCAACTGTCCTCCTCAGTTCCCAGCCATTTACAGAATATTTTTAAAAGAAGAGGGTAGGGTGCACTGGATAAGCATGGCCCTGCCCCAACATTTTTTTAAAGTGTTGCTACCATCAATTTAAAATGTCCTTATTTTTTTCTTAAAATGGTCCATTTCCTCAGTTTTTAAACATTTGATATGTTTTCTATTGTGAATAAAATGTGTTTTATAAGATTTGAAAATCATTGCATTCTGTTTATATTAAGATTTTGTGCCGCGTCCCAACTTTTTTGGAACTGTGGTTATCTATTCCCCATGTTTTAATTGCTTAAAAATGCTTCAAGCACAGAAAAATACATGTCGATCCTTTGTTATGGAACTGAGGAGAGGGTAAGTGTTCTGTTATTCAGCAAGAGAGAAATGGGAAAGGGGCAGACAATACTGCTTTGGATTTCAATGCAGCAGGGGCAGTGTTGTCAGCTGAAACAGGAAATTACAATTACAGTGGATTTCTGGCAGATCTGTTAAAAGTGTCTCCTTTTTTTCTCAAGCAATTAAAAAAAACACATTCAGTATTACTAAATAAATAATGGGTCAGGCATGACGTATCACACACTTTGCTGTGAGCAAAGATGTTCTGTCTCCGGTATGAAGATGTAACTTTTAGGAAGTAATTCCTTTAATATTTATTGGTCTTTTTATCCTTTCCCCCTGAATCCTTGTGATAACATCTACTATGTATCAAGTGCTTATCAGCTAAAAATAAGGACTACATTTACAAAGGAGTTTTTGAAATCTCTCAGTAGTTTACAATTCTGGCATCCTCCTGCGTCCCTCCTCTCCCCTTGCCCATGCAGGGCATACTTTGAACATAATACAATGTGATTTGTGAATGAACAAGGGGAGAAGGGAGAGTAAATGAGAAAATCCCTTCACTGTATGGGAGATGGAAATGTTCGTCGCAGTGCTGGAAGAAGAGCGCTGTTGAGTAAGTGTTTTAGTGTTTCTAAAGTGGACCTTGTATCAAAATGCAGCATATTATTCGAGGTTTGTTACTTTAAACCCATTTCCATGTGCCCTTATGTTGGTTCATGTATTCTTTCATTATTGTATGTTTAGGACTATTATTTTTAGGCTATAAATTGCTGAAATGTCATGTTTTAAATGATTTTAAAATGTGGCCTTTGAAAGTGTCTAAATGCAGAACTGTGTATTTACAATATGGACACATAAAACATGCAAGATTGAGTTACTGTGGGCGACATGGTTTTTGTTTAGACACAGGGGAAGCACCCATCTGTACAATGCAAAAGAATGTTCTGAGAAGCTCAGCTGTATAATGTCTTTGTAAACTAGGCATGTTGCTGGTCACGCACTGTGTCTGCGAACAGCTGAGCCCTTTCTTCTTCTAAATAAGTGCAATTTTCATTGAGGACACTTCTGTAAATGTGTATTTTATGTTCAAAAGGTAGTATAACTTCCACATTTAAAACACAGGATTTATTATTCCCTTTTTTGCATCTCATCTGCTAAAAGATAGTGTTACAAAAAAATAAAAAATCATTGTTTAAAAGAGCCATTGGCAACATTCACAATTATGTTTAGCACTGAAACCTTTGAAACATCCTTCTGAGCTATTATTATATGCGCATAGGCATTAGAGAGTAATGCTACCATTTACTAAATTATTATTACTAAATGTTTGCTGGTGCTTCACCATTCCAGTTACTATGAAAATGGCAGCAAATGCTTGACTTATAATTTGATAGGGTCTGCTTTTGTTAAGGCAAAAATGAATAAAAGGTGCTTTAAACTGGTAGGCGTATCTGGACAGCGCTTTTACTTAATGAAGCTGTAATATAATGCTTTGTGTCTCCTTGATTTGGCTTTAGGTATCACAAGAGTCAAGCAATATACCTAGAATCAAAGGACAACACCAAAATCAGCTGTGTGATCAGTTCGGTGGGAACTAACGAGGTACGTGTACAGCAGAGAAGAGCAATAATGTTCATTTACCAGCCATATAGGGAGTGCATTTGTTTATGTGTCAGATGAATCATAGGTGAGCTGTGAGAAGGAGTAGAAAGCAGAAATATTGCATAGCACTGCAAAGCAGCAAGAACAGCTGGTGTATGTAATAAGCCAATTTGGCTGCTCTCATGTACATATAGAACTACAAAGTGCATGCACTTGGGGGTATCCATATTTTCTCATTACAATAGCAGGCCAGTGCTTTCTGCTCCCTTTCCTATTCAGCTCAGTGGGTTGGCTGATTAAGTTGACACAATGCACACTTTGTATCTTATCTCAATGTTTGTAAAGCTGACCATACACTTTTAGAATATCATTGGATACACAGAATTGGCTGAAATTCTAACCAGGGGTGGCTCAGCACCACCCGGCTTGGAAAACTTTGATTTAAAAATTGAAGGTGCCATGTGGGAAAATTGTCAGCTAAGAAGTGACTGCAGCCAATTGGATGCAGTCACATTTGGGGTCACATTTGGGGTATTCTCATAGCAGTGGGCGCCAGCTTTCAGAATAAAATAGCTGGCAGGGAAGATAGCTCCATCCACGCTGTTTAGCATGGATGCAGGAATACGTGAATAGCCAACTTAATTCTGAAATCCAGGCACATGGCTATATATACATTTAAAATACCTGCTAAAGGATTTGTAATTAATTTGAGACAATTCTAAGAGATGCACAGCCTAGCCATACAACAGATCCAGGTTAATGTTAATGACTGCAGTTTGGTCACCTCCCTGGCCCCCAGCCGGTGACTGTACAGTATGGAAGCAGAATGTGGATGAGTCATTCTTCTGCTTTCTTCTCCTGTCAGCATGTTCCCTGTTAGCGCATGTGCATATAGCAAAGCCTGATTGGCTCCTAGTGCTGCTCCTCCTCCTTCCAGTTTATACTGTTGTACAGGGGATAATGAAATTGAATTTAAGACAGATTTAGGTACTACCTGAAAAGTAGATGCAAACACTTAATCTAAGACTGGTCTACCAAAAACTTAACCTTTTAACCCTAAAGCTGAACTCAATGTAAATGGATAGATATCAGATAAAGTGAATATATTGGGGCTGTTTTACCTACCAAAGAATTTGTAGTTCTGGCCATCCAATCCTGAGATTTACACAGCACTATCACACAGCATAGTAATGTTTGGCAGAGCAGGATACTTGATTCTTGTCTGCTGCAGTTACGTAACACTTTTACAGGACTTGTCCTTTCACCTGGCCTTTTACTGGAGAATAAAAGGAAAAGCAGCAGACCAGTGAACTCCTGTCTCTGATGTGCTAGTGAATACAGAGCTGCAGTAATGTGTGTCTTCTATAGCTGCCTGAAGTTCATCTTTATTGTGACTCCTATAATGTTGGGCTTCTCAGCACCAAATGCATCTGCTATGAGAAAACAAATTCTATTTGGCTCTCATGGCATGGTACCTTTCCTGTGCTGATCCTCCCTCAGTATTGCTATTGGTAAGCTGAACAAAGTGGAGGAGATGGACACAGGCACATAGAGGGGTATTGATTGAAAATGGAGCAGACAAAATCTGGCACAGCTGTGCATGACAACCAATCAGCTTCTCTCTTCAGTCTGTTCAGTTAAGATTTGAAAATGAAAGAGGGAAGCTGATTGGCTGCTCCAGATTTTGTCTGCTCCAGTTTTGATAAATTCCCCCCATATTGTTTTAGATGATTTGCTAGTTATTAGACTGCATATCGGGTGCTCTCCATTTGCAAGGAAAGTATGTAAAATGTCAATTCATGTATGTAGTGATTTTATCAGCTCCTTATTTTAGAAGAAAATGTTACTTTTGAATTGTATCCATATATATTATTTATATTATACTCGCAGTGAGTATAATATAAATAAAATATATGGATACAATTCAAAAGTAGAAGTAACTCACTAGACTTTTTTTGTTTGGCAGATTTGGGTGAGGAAAAGCAGTGACAGCACAAAGATGAGGATCTACCTTGGCCAACTACAGAGGGGCTTGTTTGTTATCCGGAGGCGTTCCGCTGCATAAAACCTACTGGTCTCGCCAGTCTCCTAATGTGACAGTTCATCTATGACACATCATCTTTCATCTGGATGACAGCTGGCGTCACTGACCTGTGCAGACTGAAATGCAGACTGTGATCAGTGAACATTACCTTGTATAGTGAGATTTTCAAATCCTTTCCAGCATCAGTGGTACTGAAGACTTGAGGGAATATTTCTCAAGACGAGTCGCCTATTCTTCAGTATATCTTTGCTTCACAAAGAGACAACTGCATCTCTGCAAAGAGAATTGTTTCACAAATTCTCAGTGCTGCTGCATAAATTAGTTCTTTATTTTTTGGCCAACTCCTCACAAAGCTCACACTGACTATAACAAATTACAGCTAACCTTTTCTTTAGCTGGTCTTGTAACTTTAATATGTTGTTTACGTTTTACTTAAGCGGCCATTTTTAGATGCAGAATAAAAGGCAGGGAATAAGATCTTAGATATTATTCATTATACATTTCATTGTTGCAACCAGTGCATCTTGCACATTTGTATTTCAGGTTTTGTGCTGGCGGTTTTTAAAATCACCGAAACTGACCGAACTGATAAATCCATAATTCAAGTAGGATACGATCTCAGGAATTTTTGTGGAAATAGTGGTTCTTTGTATTGCTCTGCTTCTATTAGTTGTCAGCATATTATTGTAAAACGTATCTCAAGCTTCTTTAAAATGTATTCATTTTAACATATTCAGTGTTTGTTTACTTGTTTTGTCTGTATGTACTCTAAAAAGGGGCCATAAATGAAAGATTTTAAAATTTAATTTGTGTTCATTTTAAAGATAACAGACCTTCTGCTGGCACCTATGGGTGACTGTGTGTATCTTTACATAAGGTACGCTGTAGAGTGCCCTGCTAGCCCTAAGACCCAGAACACTCTATTATACACTATTACTGAAGTTGACATTAGGTACCCTCAAATCTGTCTATCACTATGATAAAATGGCCTAACCTACCATTAGGCTCACAAGGATGCAGGATGTGGGTCAGAGTTCAGATGCATTAAATGAAGTCAATATATGACAATAGACTGCCCACATTTCCAGTGCTCATCAGACACTCTGCAAAATGTGTAAGCACGAACTTCTCAAGGTGTCTACATGTCATGTGTGCAGATGGTTTAGTTGCTTTGAATTGAACATAGGTGCACTTTAAGAGTTTAGTAGCGTTTATCATTTTGAACAGCTGGACTTTAAGCATTTCAAGATCTGTTTTTGGTACTTTTAGCAACCAGAGAGATTCTTGGATTTACTCTTTCATGTGGTATAAGAAGTATCAATGAGAGAAAGTGTGGACACCTTTTTAGATGTTTTCTAAGTAAGGCTCACTGTTTCCAGGCTTTGTTGCTGAAGGTCCACTAATAGTCTATGTACACAGACATTCAAACACATTGCATATTAGAGGGTGGATATTCATCTTTGTTTAGAACAGATATTTTTCCTTTAAACACGCATAGGCTGTGATAAACTCTGTCAGACCAAAACTACACGGGGATGATTTCTTGTCTGACAAATTGTGTTGAAACACCCTGTGTAAATTCTGATTTTACAAGGTAAATGGAGGCCATCAAGAATGTGTCGGCACATCAATTTTACATATAGCACATCTCTGTGACACCCAAATTTACTTTCACAGTGGGCTATTTTGCCATTTCCCTCTGCAGTCATGTTTCTTAAAAGAGAACTATTGTTGCCTTTGCAAAATAATCCATTTGGTACATATAAGTATCCCACCTTATATGTCAACTTGTCTGTCACAGGGTTTTCTGATGTCCATTTATTGCTACTTTTATATGTGCAGAAACGTATGTTTAGGAGGACAGAACCATTGTTTTCTGTAACTACCACCTGTCATTTTCTATCTCTAGCCCAAATGGACAGAGGCGAGCAAGAGCCATGGGGAAATGACAGTTCTAAGTACTTTTTGTGTTCCAATTTTAAATGATCTTTATTAATCGCACAAGGCACACAGGATGGTTATTCAGGTACATAGGTTTCTTCTACTGCCTTCAGGAGACTGGACACTGACTAAAAAAAGCTGTAAGCACAACCTAGTATAACCCCTCCCACTCCTATCATGCTCCCGTTTTTTGCTAGTATCCCAGGAGAACAGAAGTATTTTCTCCTCTGAGAGAAGCAAACTACTTTTTTTTTTCTTCTTCTAACAAGATTCTTCAGTTGCTACAGAGCCACCGTTGTGTTTTGTTTGCCCCCCCCCCCCCCAATATTTATTTTAATTAAATTCTATGTAATTTTTTAAATTTTTTTTGTTTCCATTGTGTTACGTTGCCCGGAAAAAAAGTAGAGCAGCTCTACTTTTTGTTTAATCGCACTGCCACGGTACACAATGGACCACAGTGGTGTGAACTGGTCCCCATTACACCCATACTTTTTTGGGGTTATTCGGTGTGAATGAGGTCTTAATGTAACCTCAGAACGTCTGACAAATCCTTAGTATGCCCACTGTGAGGGCAAAGGCTATTTGTATGGAACATGCCCCCTGGATCCTGCCTAATATGTCTAATGTACATGTTAGGGACTGCAAGTCATCTTGAGCTTGGATGTGATTAAACTGCTCTTTGTGTTTCCTAAGGTGTTCACTCAGGAGTGCTGGCTGCAACAGTTTTTGTTGCAGGTCTGCAGCGGTAGGAGGCACAGTGCCATTTTTAAAATTTGGCACCATAATACAAGGCTCACTTCCAGTGTGCCCCTACTGAGCTGATAATTCGGACCATTGCTCCCGCCTCCTTATCCAGGTAAGAATTTTCTGTTACTATTTCAGAGTTTATGGAGAAAATTTCAGCCATGTTGGCTTACTGAGAATGCAGGGGCAGCAAGAGTGCAATCCACGCCCTATTCTCTACAGTCCATATCTCTGTCTCCCTCACCCTATTCCTCTAAAATACCTTCCTCTTCTGAGACGGCATTCCTCTGATTCTCATCGCACCAAACTGGCCCAGGCAGACATGGTTCTTGAACCTCACCAGACTCCTGGCAGACACTGTCCGGTGGCCTTTCTTAGATTATCTTAATCTTCTATCCAAAGGACAGGTTTGAACATCCTGCTTCTTTGTTGCTGGCTTTAACACACTGGCTGTTGAAGCCCAGGTCCTGAGGATAGGGGCCTATTTCCTTCCTTTATCCCTGTATTCCTGAAAGCTATGAAGTTGACTTCTCGTAGAGTCTAGCATCTCACTTGGAAAGCATATTTCTCTGTCTTGGATAAACATCTGGCTTTTAGTACCATCAAGTGTCAAATCTCAGCCAAAGAAAATCTGAACCTGTCTGCTCTCAATCACAAGTTTGCCTTCCTTGTTGCCATCACTTCTGCAAGCGAATTTCTTCTGCAAGCAGTAGCACCCTTGAAGTCAGTTGATGAAACGTGTTGGGTGGAGCCTAGCTGATGACCTCACATTTGTGAGGAGCACACACGTGCTCTTGGAGCCACGTGAACCGCAGCATCCCTACCCAGTGTTCTTTGCCTAATACATATGTTCTATATGTGTACAAGTGCATGGCTGCACGTGAGGTTTATCTTCACATTTTAATAAAATGTATGGTTTTATCAAAAGCACTATGGTATGTCTTTATGTTCTCCTCTGAGCTACTGTATTGAGGAGTCTTAATTTTACGTAGCTGATTACTGCTTAACCCATTGGTGGTTACTTAGCCCTGTTTGATCTTATTTAATGTATGAGGTTTATCTCCAAAGGTGAGAGGTGTTTTGGTCTTAATGATAGATACTCACCAAGACCTTGGTCCCATCTAGCTAACAAGTGGTATATACTGTTGCTAATACCCTCCTCCTTAATTAAGGCAAGTCTGTAAACAAAGTAACAATCCTCCATGCCGATCTCCTAAAGTGTGTTCTCACAAACACCACATGTGAAATACTCCTATATATTCAAAGCCCTTCACCATAATGGCAGACCCAAATATTCGCTCTAAAGCACTCAAGCCTTTTTTTTTTTTTTTCTTGGTGGGATTATATCCAAACTGTTAGGATCCTTTCCTCACCACACTCCACCCCTCCAGTCAATGGTATTACTAGCAGGTCTACATGTAGTACTTCCTCTCCCTTGGTTAAAACTATACCCAAATTCTCCCTTTATGGACTCCGTGATTCATAAAATAAGAGCAAAAAAAAAATAAGATCCCATAGTGCACACTGTTGTAAACGTAAATCTTTTTTTGATGAATGTACTCACAAACGAGGTAGATATAATACTTGATAAGACAACAGACTACTGGGGTCATGTCGGTTAAATGTCAACTTGTCAAGCCTTAAAATTGCACTTGTGAAATGGCAATAAACTACAGTACCTAAAATTGCCCATAGGTAATGCTTTGAAAGCCTTTACCGTTCATCACATCACTTCAACGTTCGCGGTGATTATGTAACATTGGTGGCGTAGTTGTCGTTTTCACACATGCGCACCCGACGCATGTTTGCATTTGGATGTACATGTACACAAAAATGTTTGTGTGTGATTTGAGGATCTACAGCTGTGATACATAAATAAGGCACATTTATGTTAATAGTTAAGGTACTTGAATGCATTTTAAAGATTTAATTCCTGAGTTTAATATCACTTTTTTGTATTTTTTAAGCTTTTGTTTTCCTCACACTTTTTACTTTATTATCACATGGAAGGCTAACAATAAACTTATATCCTGCAAAATCTATTAGGTAACCATTGTACAAAAAAGGTGAATACTAAAACAGCATTCAAGTTGCATAAAGTGGGTTAGAACAGTTGTACGTAGTAGAAATAATAGAAGTCCCCAATCCATAGCCATCTTTGCAACACCAACAAAACAAATCCAAGCTTGGGCTTTTATCCCAATCGGGAGCCCGGAAGCAGTAGTTCTCAGAATAAAAATGACAGCTAACTGGATTTAAGTGGTTAAAACTTGATTCAGTGACCTCTGGCTGACAACACAATATAATTTTAACAAGCTGATAGAAACATTAAATAAAGCATTATGCTTAGAAATTACATTCAGGTCTAGGTATGAATAGAACCTGTGCTCTTTACAGATTTATATTAACACTTATATTGTGGCTCGGCACAATGTGACAGCCACTTTAGATTCCAGGGATAAGAAAAAGGTGATACAAATCATGTCTATGCATTTAGTAATGCCAAATCTCTAAAGGCTGGGCTCTATGGTTATAGAAGGCATGTAGAGGGATGCATGCCAATGAAGACCGAATAGCAAATGGTTGCAAGTCAGCATTCCCCGGTTTTGATGTTGAATAGTAAGAAGATGGCAGTAGTCTTACTAGAACTCTATGTGCTCTCTCAATTAAAAAATTCAGGAGAACATCTCTGAACTGGATGTGCCTTTTAGCTAGATTTCAATATACTCATCTGAAGGTAACCATCTATTTCTGGGAGTCTGAATATGTGGAGATTGTTTCTTCACATCCAAATCTCAAGGCTATCTGCTTTGGATCTCCAGTTGGAGGAGGAGGAGGAGGAGGACTGCTCAGTGTTGTCTGCAGATTATTTTATTGGTCTAATGGGCATCACATTCTCCAAGTGAAATAAGTTTCTCTAGGGCCCCTATATATGCATAGATGTTCTGAACATTTTACCACAAAAGGCCTACAACTGTGCACACCACCTCTGGCGTTTTGTTAAGTTTGGTGTGACTTGCATTTATAGCTGAATATAGCTGGTCCTGCCCCTTCTTTAAATTGTAACTAAATCTAT